TGGACTGGGAAATTGGATTTTTGGGGGTCTCAAACCACCACAATTCCTCTCCAAAAAAAAAAAAATGCAGTGGCACCTACCAGGAAATGAAAATTCAGCTTTAAAACTCACGAAGCAGTAACGAGATCGAATGGGAATAAGGTGATTTTAAACATTTATCGTTGTGTCTGACAGAGATGCAGGAAACTGAGACTGCTGCGAGTCAAACGCCTCAAAAATCCACTTTTGTTATTCCTTCCCTTCCCACACCTTGGAGTCTTGGGGCAACCTGGGCTGGGGGAAGGTGCTCCTGCTGATGCCTTAAGATTCTTCTAGTTTTTTGGTTTTTTTTTTTCTAATTTTTATAAGCTTTATAAGTAGTTAAGTAGCAAAAGTAGATTTTAGAAGCAGCAGCCCTTATTCCTTTCCCCTTTAGCACAGCAGTTTACACACTCCTCAACCCCTACATACCCCATTCCATGCTCCCATATCCACCCCCTGAATTCCAGGAGAAAATGTTTAGAGTCTCTTGTCAAGGCAGGGCCTCTTCTATTTGAGGGCATCTAATCCTGGCCTGGACCACAAAAGGACAGCCAAGAACTGGGTGACCCTGCACCCTTCTGTGCTCTGAAGAAGATGAAGATGATGAAGAAAAGCCCCCAGCCCCAATTCCAAGGGGGAGGGATGGAGGTGGACCAGGGGGTGGAAACACTTGGGATTGGACAAGCAATATTATAAATTGTAATCTCATGCCCAGGCACAAATTAAACCCATTTTCTGACCTGATTGAAAAAAAATCCCCCTGGTTCCTGCATTTCTTTTTTTTTCAGAGGTAGTAAAATCTGTGAAATATTTAGCAGGGTAAAATCTGTGAAATATTTAGAAGTTCCCAAAAAAAGAAAAGAAAAAAAGAGAGAAAAAAAAAAAGAAAAAAAAAAAGGGAGTGATTTGGAAATATCAAAACATGTTACTTCAATGAGGTTGAACCATTTCTCCTGATGAATGTTTAAAGCAAAAATCACTTCCACATTAGAATAATAAAAGTCAAAACTAAACAAGAACATCCAAATCAAATGTTTTGACATTATTGAAACGAAACAAGTCGACATGAATCTTTCAAAACTTCTCCATCAAATATTATTCATACAGACAAAATTTTGACAAAACAGCATTTTTTTTTTTCTCCCCAGCAAATGTTTCAGCAGGAATTCTGCAGCAGCTCTTTATGCTGTTTGTCTCCTGGTGGTGGGTGGGGAGACTGGGGGCCCTTGTGCAGAGGAGGGAACCAGGGACTGAGGAGAGCAAAACCCTCCCTGCTCCTCCACCACAAACCCTGCAGGCACCTGAAAGCCAGGCCACTCTTTTTCCTGGAGTTCTGTGGGAATTTTCTGCTCCTGCCTGACTCAGCTGTGGAGGAAAAGGAGGCAGTTTGAGCTGCAAGGAAGCAAAACTCTTCCAGTTTCTGGAAGAAACGGCCACGGGATGAAGGATTTGGGAGCTCTTTGGGGGCCAGGCCTGAGGAAATCACACAAATGTCACCCCCAGCCAGAACAGAGCCAAGAAAACACTTCAAACTTGGAGTTTTGTACTTGGAATAATTCAGTTTAAACTCATTGGAGTTAATGGTGCCAGGGAGGAACTGGAAGGAACCAGGGGTGTTCTTATGGGCTCGTTCTTTGGGATTCCAAGGGAAAGGAGAGATTTGATCTAATGGAAATAGATTGCTTTACCATAGGAGAGACAGTTAGAATTGTTGTTTATAATGTATTATCATATTTGTTGGGTCAGTAATAAATTTGGATATAATTTCCCCCTGCTAGTAGAGGTGTTTTGCCTGAAAACCCTCTCACACTGAGACAAACTGGGGGGGGGCTTGAAAATTGGAATAACTTGGTTTAAACTCATTGGAGTTAATGGTGTCAGGGAGCATTATAATGTATTATAATATTTATTGGGTCAGTAATAAATTTGGATATAATTTCCCTGTGCTGGTAGAGGTGTTTTGTCTGAAAACTCTCTCGCTGAAACAAATTGTGGGGGGCTTGAAAATTGGATTTTTTTGGGGGTCTCAAACCACAACAGGGACAAAAAAAGGGACCATCCAGCTCCAAGCAGAAGGACCTTCCAGCTCTGAAACCACCTTGGAGGGGAAGGTGTCCCTGCCCATGGAAGGGGTTTGGAATGAGAGGAGCTTGAACATCCCTTCCAACCCAAACCATTGTATGAACAAGGAAATAAGGGGTCTAGAGAGGAAACCCAATGAGGAGGGGACAAACTGAAAAGGATCTTTTTGCCACATCTACCAGCAGCACTGCAGAGCAACTGCAGGAGCTGAATCCAGCTGGCTCCCAGAGCCCCCTGGCCTCCCATCAAATCACTGCCAGGAGGCTCAGACCAGACTGAAATCCAAGTTCCCCGACCCTGAGAGCAGCTCAGGGCAGAACATCATCAGCTAAAAAGCCTCCCTGGTGTTGGCTCAGCACTATTTCAGCTTTAGGACACGAGTCAATACGTTTAATGGCAAAGCAGAGCAGGGGAGACAGAAATCCTTCACCCCCCCCAGCCACAAGAGTGAGGCTCAGGTGATGCTGAACCAAAAAAAGTCTCAACACAAGACTGTATTTAGGCCTAAAATGAATGTAAAAAAGGGCTGCACAAAGCAGCAGCTCCTCTGAGCAGGTTGGGGCTGCAGCAATTTGATTAAAGCCAGGAAGTTGAGGAGAGGAAATCTCCAAACTCCAGCCCTGCAGAGCTCCTAAGCCTCTTAGCACCAGGGGCTGAACTCCAGCGTGGAGCTGAGCAAGCCAGAGCCAAACACTTACTCAGCATTTCCACACAATAAATATTGTTTAATCATCCCCTGGTGGTTCAGGAGCACAGACTTTACTCAGCTCTACCCAAACTAACCCAATTCCAGCAGAAACCCAAATTACATTAGCGTGTGTGTGTCTATAATTCCAGCTTTCATTTTAAATTCTTCCTTCATATTAAAAACCATAAACTACAAAATATATCACAGCATTAAAATTTGGGGTTGTCCTGTTGTGTTTTTTTTTTTTTTTAGTTTTAACATTTCTGTTGAACTCATCCCATCTTCATGTGCAGATCTGGAAAACCCCAATCCACATCCCTGGTGTTCTCACACTCTTCCTGCTGCAAATGGGCTTTCTCTTATTCACCAGTGAAGAAAAAGGACCTGGCTGGTTCCCTCCCTTCCTCAGAACCCATCAGTAAAAACCTGATGGCACAGGAACTGGATGCTGAATACAATATTTATTTATCCATTTCCCTATTTTCTTTTTTTTCTTTTTGTTTTTCCCCTCTTCAGCACATTTTTCCAACAGGTCCTTGGAGCTGTGCATGGATAAACCTCCTGGGTGTGAGTGTTCCAGCACAGCAACAGGCTCTGGGATCACCTTCCCCTCCCAATGAACACTGAAACTTCCACCTTTGAGGATGGATGGTTATTTAAACACACCCTCCAAGCAATCCCTGCCCTTCTCCCAGGCAGATTTTTGGGTCCTGACTTCACACAGTTCCATCAGCTGTAATTTTCTGCTCACAAACAGGGGGAAGTGGGGCCATAAAACTGATCTTGAAACTTGTTAAGAAGTTGGACATAGCTTCACAATGTATTTGGCAATTGGCAGTTGCCTCTCCCTCAGGTGCCTCTTCCTTTGGAACTCGAAGCTCTTGCAAGAACTGTGAGAGTTTGGCACTGGGAGCTCCCCAGGAGTCCAGGACACGACTGGTGATGGACTGGGGAGGTCACAGGGAGTGAGAGCAGCTCGGCCTGGCCATAGATCAAGGTACCAATCACATCAAAACAAGGCAGAGGAGGGAAAACTCAGGCTCCTTGTGGCCCCAAAGTTCACCCAAGATGAACAACAGGGGGAGAAGTCCCTCCATCATGGGCTTTGCAACACCAGATTTATCAGGAGACACAGGGAATGTGTCACAGTGCCCTCGGGGTGAGATCAGCAAAGCAGGCAGGTCTGGGAGCAGGGATCACTCCCAGCAGAGCTGCAGTGCCCTCTCCAAGGGCAGGTCTGGGGGCAGCAGCTCTGCCAGGCTGCCAAAAACCAGCTGCACACCAAGGTGGGCAGGGTCAGAGCCCGGAGCCACCAGGCTGGGCAGTCCCAGCTGCTGGCACCGAAATGGCACCGTGGAGATGCTCCCTGGACAATCAGGATTTGCCTTTTCCTTCTCTCAATTCCCTCGTTTATGTTCCTCCAGGACTCTTCCTGCTGACCTGGCCCTGCCATCCTGTAAATATTCCAGCATCACCCCAATTCCCCCTGAGGTCCTGCCCAGCCTCCCTGGACTTGCTGGCACTGGGGCCAGCTCAGTTTTCTGGTGGCTCAGGTCCCTCAGGCCCCTAATTCTGTTCCCTCACATCCACCAGCACCACCCTGGGCCCCAAACACAAGGTGACAATTCCCTGAAACACGGCAAATCCAAGAGAAACCCTTGGAAAAATGAATGAGGGCCCTGGGAAGAGCCAGGCTGAAATGTTCCTGGAGCTGACAGAGACACTTTTCCATCCCACTTTCTCACACCTGTGACAAACAGCAAACACACAAGTTCGTGCCAGAGCCCAGCAGTCACATCCTGATGCATTCCTTTGAAAAAAATCCCTGTATTAACTTTCCTTTCATTTGTAACACTCCAGACTACCCGAGTGTAAAGCAGTTGACACCCCTGATCCACTGGAACCATTGATTACTCCATCTCCTCATTTCCTCCCCCAGACACAATCTGTCACCATCAGCTGAGCCTCACCAGCTCCTTTCCAACAAAGCAGATGAAATGGCAACCAGACAGTCCCCACCCAGCCAGCCCTGATGGAAAAGAACCCAGCAAAGCTGTTCTTAGAGCAGCAAAGCTTCGCTCTTAAGGGGGAAAAAAAAATCTACAGAGCTTCGATATAGAAATAGAGAAGCTTCTTCCTCCTTTTTCTGCACTCATCCCAGCCCTGATCCTTTCAACCCAGAGGGATTCTGAGAGAGGGGCTGGCTTACCTTCATAGGTTGCTTTGAAGCCCAGCAGGTTGCTGACACTGTCTGTCTGGAAGAGGAGCCACATCTGGTGGTGGGTGCTGACGATGAGGTCGGGGACGGTGGTGCCCGTCAGGCTGCAAAGGGAAAGCAGCACAAATCAGCCTGTTTGCCTCCCAGAGCCAACAGAACAAAGGGCAGAGATGCCTCTGTAGGACCACAAAACAGCCAAACCAATGAAGAATCACCCCAAACCAGGACACTGCCCAAAAACCTGCTGCATTTTCCAGACTGTCTGGAAAACGCTTCCTTGTCTGTTCTGCATTCTACCTGCACTGGGAGGCTTTTACCACAGCTTGAGGGCCTGCAGATTATCATCATCACCACCATAATAATTACAATTTGGTGCCATTATTGCAATATATTATCCAGCAACAAAAGGAATCATTTTCTTTCTCGCCCAAGCGAAACCACGAGCAAACAAATAAAATTCCCAGAACCCAAAAACCGGTGAGTGAAGCCCCTGAACTGCCTCGACAGTGTTTTCTAGCATTAGGAAAAATTGGCTTCCCCACACGTTCGCTGCAAAGCTTCCACCCTGAGAGAAAAGTTTCTAAGAGGTTCTAGGAAAAAAAAAAAAAAAGACAAAAAAACCCACAAGACAAAAAACCCGAAACAACAACAAAATAATAATAATAAAAATAAAAACAAACAAAAAACCCAACAAAAATAATAAAACAAAACCGAAACCAAAACAACAACAAAACCCAAACCAAACAAAAAAAGCCCTAAAAAACCAAACGAACAAAACCAATCAAAACAAACAAACAAACAAAAAAAACCACCTGGAAGCCAAGGCAGGAGCCTCGAATGTGCTGAGCACCCTGTGAGCCCTGGAGAAGTGCTGCTAATCCCAGGGATCAGGAGGTTTCCTTCCCTCCAGGATCCTCCCAGGGGAGCTGAGGGGATTTAGGGAGATGTCACCAATCCATCCCTGTTTATGTGGCTCGTTCAGCCCCAGGATTAATCCCCTCGTTGTGGTTCAACAGAGCTTTGGAGCTTTATCCCCCACCCCCAGGAGCACCTTCCAGGGCTCCAGCTCCCTTCCCTTCCCTGCACACACAGGAGCAGTGTGTGGGAAGGATCATTATTCCAGCAGCAGGATTGTTGTGTTGCCTGTCTCAGTGGCAGTGTTTAATGTTGTTATTGCACTATTTCTGCTCAGGTATTATCTGGGATGAATTTAGAAATTAAAGTGCAGCTCCTGCAAGGGGAGAGAGGAGGGTTTGGGGATTTTTTTTATTCTGTAGTGCAGGGGCTGGGTGGGCCAGGGTGGGGAGGCCCTGGCACAGGTTGCCCAGAGAAGCTGGCACTGGGTGAGCTTTAAGATCCCGTCCCACCCAAACCAGCCTGGGATGCTGTGGCTGCTCCAAGGGTTGAGCTGCTTCCTCAGCTTCCAGGACATTCCCAGCAGCTCCCTGGGAGTGGAAGGTTCTCTCCAGTTCAGGTATCTGAGGTGAGCAGGACCTGCCTGGCCAGGCACAGAACCCTCCTCCCCATCCCAGAGCCCCTCCCCAGCCCCACCAGGGTCAGACCTGCCCCCAGCCCCTGCTCCAGAGGGTGCTTTTTCCTGGAATCACAACCACCTCTCCCAAGCCCATCAGAGCCCTCCCAGCTCTGCCCCCACCTTTTACTCCATGATTCCTTTGACCTGCACCAGGAATTTTACTGATCCCAGGGTGCTGGGAAATGAGGAACTGATCTTGTTTTAATGCCTGTTTTGCACCCCAAGAGTTTGCTGCAGAGTGCAGGGGTGTTATTGTTGATTCTCCAGGTACTGAAGCAGCAGAGAGGCAGGAAGGAGGAGCACAGCAAGAGAAAAACCTTCAGGAAAAAAAGGGGGCTTCAAAGCTTCCCTCATTCTTTGCTATTCCACTTTAACAAGCCCAGTGATTGATTTGGGTGCTTGTTACTTTAGGGAATAAAATCCTCTCTGCAAGTCAGAAAAGCTCAGCCTAACAATCTGTTCTGTTCCCTGAGCTGCATTTTACAGGGGTGAGGGAGAGGCTGGAGACAAATGGTCCTTCCTGGCTCCGTTTTGGGATGGTGGCTGTGCTGTGCAAGCTGATTCCAGAGGGTCCCTTCATCTGAAAGGCAGCAGGAGCTGAGCCCCTCTTCCAACAGCCAAGAAGAAAGGAAGAGCAGCAAGAAAATTGGATCTCCTGTCTCTGACAGGATCAGGTTTCTGTGTTTTGATTCCTCAAAAAACCCCACAGCTGGTGCCCAGTGGATCTACCTGGATCCAGGTGACAGTGGGAGAAGTGCACACCAGTTACAGCTGGAATATTTCTGTGCTCTTCACACCTCTCTCATATTTAATTACCTTTCAACTTATCCTTGCAGATGATAAATAAATAAATAAAGAAAGAAACTTCCCTGTTAGGATCAGCATCAGGAATTTGCTTGAAAGTTCTCCTGCACTGGGTAAAGATTCCAGACACTGCACCTTTCCCAGTCCCAGCTATTCCACATTTGCATTAGCCAGGGGTTGGGGGGCTAATGCAGAGTGAGAAAAACATGGAATGACAACAAAGAAACCCAGGAAAATCTTCCTTGGGCTTCAGGCAAGGCCAAAGGGGAGGAAAAGGAGGAATCATTTCAGCAGGTTCTTACAAACTGCTCCCCTGGCAGTGATTTGCACATTTTGACCAACCAGCTGTGAAATGTTCTGGAACAGTTCAGTTACAAACACTTGGGCAATAATCAGCCTGCCAATTCCTGGAGCTCCTGACCAAAGGCTCATGGGCTGGGAAGAAACGTGGAGGAAAAGGAACCTCGGGGAAAACAAAGGTTTGGGCAAGACAAGGAAAGAGGAATGTGAGTGGAGATGGGGTGGGAGGCTGATCTGTGTGGGAAAAACAAGAGAAGAGGAAGAATGAAAAAAAAAAACCACAATATAACACCCTCCCAACAGTTGGCAAGAGCACAACAGCTTGGCTGGAGGAGTTTTGGAGAGGCCTGGAAGGAAAGCAGGACCATTTCTGTGTCTCCAACGCTGAAGAAACCCCCCCAGAACATCACATGTGCAGCCCAAAGGATGCAAATTGAGGGGGACAAATCCCAGACTTGAGGGGGCATCATTTACCCCAATGCACCCTGGGGTGTCTCACCCAAAGATAATGGATTTACACCTTGCACAGGTAACCAGGAGGACACAGAAGGACAGCCCAGGAGAGAGAGAGAGAGAGAGAAAACAGCCCTTGGACTCTGCCTGAGCTGCAGATCCTCTCGTATCCCAGGTTTTATCCTCTTCCCTCAGCTCCCTGGACACCCTCAGCCCCTCCCTGAGGGCTCCCCAAAGGCAGCTCAGGAGAAATGAGGTGCAGAGGGAAGAACACACCAGAACAGCCCCCAAAAATGACAAGCAGCACATAATTCCCCCTCCCCAGGGACAGGGAGCAGGGGGGGCTCCCCCATCCCAACCCCTCAGGCAAAGCCCAGGGCTGGCTTTCCCTCCCCCAGGGGCCTCAGGAAATGCTACTTACACATAAAGCACAGTTTTCTGGTCTCCCACTTGGCCTCCATCCCCCACTGTCAGGGTGTCATATCCCCTTTCCAGCTCGAACTCCTCGAAGGTGAGTTTGATGACCTGGCAAAGAGGCAGCAGGTTAACAGGGACCCCCCACCCCGGAGCCACAGCCAGCCCCTGCCCTGCCTGGCCATCTGCTGGGCTCTGCAGCTTCCAGGAGCATCCAGAACATCTCCAGGACATCCCCAAAGGTGACTGTCCTGGCTCTTCCCAGCCCTGGAGCTCCTCCCTGCAGGCAGACTGAGCTCCTCCCGAAACCACCTCTGGGATTTCTCTGCCTTATCCATCCATTTCCCACATGACTTTATTGATAAAAATGTGTGTGCTGGGACTCCAGCAGGCTTCTTTTCTCTTTCACCAGGTTCCTCTGCCCTTTCCTTGCCAGCCCTGAAATCCTGTCTGTGCAGGTGCAAGTGGAGAGTCTTTCTTTTGCTTTGAGTTCCTCCCAAAATTCTCCTGGTTTCTGGTCAGACCAAGAGAGGATTTATATGAATTACCACTGGGAAATGGTCTCAGGCTGTCTGCAAACACAATCATCATCATCACATCTGTCCACAGCTCTTTGTGTCCTGTGTTTTCCCTCCTGTTCCACCCAAATTTCCACCCCCACTCCACTTTTCCAGCCCCCACGGAGCACAAACCCCATGGACACCCAGAGGTTTGGGTCCCAAAACCTTTCAGCTGCTTTGGAAACCTCTTGTTTTCAAATCCAACATGATTTAGGGGACAAAGGTCCTTAATCCAGGCTGAACAAACAGAAAAGGAAGAGAACTTCATTTCCAGAAGTGTTTTCCAGAACAATCAATGGAGCTTTGGGTTCCTGGAGCTCTTTCAGTGACCTGAGCCAGGAAAGCACTTGGATCATCAGACCTTTGTGCAGGTGCCTGTAAACACATTGCATTTCCTCGCTTTTAACAGATTAAATCACCAAATTTGAGTCCAGGCCCCCTTGGGCTATTTTAGACAATGCAGAATTATCAAAAGGAATTCAGCAGGAGGAGCCACGTTGGTGCCAAGGCCCACAGGCACCTGATGCCACCCCAGGGCATCTCAGGGCCCATCTTAGGGCCAGGACCAAAGGCACAGGGAAACCAAAATCCTGCTCTCTCTCATTTCTTACCTATTAAAAAAGCAGCACCTCCTGCAAACCCTTGAGCACATAAGAGTCCCAAAGTTCAAACCAAAAGCAAAAACAATAATGGTGTTTCTGTAGCTGAGGCTGAGCTGTCCTGTGCCACCCCCTCCTCCACATAAACACAATATTTCTCAAAAGCCCAGAAATGAGGGATTTGAGCCACGACCTCCTGAAAAATCAGAGTTTTCCCCCAAGCCCTGGGATGGTGAAACAGGAGCTCTCGTGTGAGATCCTTCAGACAACTGTGGAACCATTAACTGGAGTGGCAGCACCCAAATATTAACCTGTGCAGGTCGGTATTAAAGCCTGTAATGATGGAATAATGTAATTAATACAAAGCTGTAACGCTGCACACATCGTTAGTTCAATCACCCACTCAAGTGAGCTGCATTCTGAGGAGCCTGACCCTAATTAAACAACTAATTACATTCTAGCACACTCAAGACTGTAACCTCGTGGCACAGGAACTGGATGCTGAATACAATATTTATTTATCCATTTCCCCATTTTCTTTTTTTTCTAACTTTTTTTTTGTNTTTTTGTTTTTCCCCTCTTCAGCACATTTTTCCAACAGGTCCTTGGAGCTGTGCATGGATAAACCTCCTGGGTGTGAGTGTTCCAGCACAGCAACAGGCTCTGGGATCACCTTCCCCTCCCAATGAACACTGAAACTTCCACCTTTGAGGATGGATGGTTATTTAAACACACCCTCCAAGCAATCCCTGCCCTTCTCCCAGGCAGATTTTTGGGTCCTGACTTCACACAGTTCCATCAGCTGTAATTTTCTGCTCACAAACAGGGGGAAGTGGGGCCATAAAACTGATCTTGAAACTTGTTAAGAAGTTGGACATAGCTTCACAATGTATTTGGCAATTGGCAGTTGCCTCTCCCTCAGGTGCCTCTTCCTTTGGAACTCGAAGCTCTTGCAAGAACTGTGAGAGTTTGGCACTGGGAGCTCCCCAGGAGTCCAGGACTCCACTGGTGATGGACTGGGGAGGTCACAGGGAGTGAGAGCAGCTCGGCCTGGCCATAGATCAAGGTACCAATAACATCAAAACAGGTAGAGGAGGGAAAACTCGGGCTTCTTGTGGCCCCAAAGTTCACCCAAGATGAACAACAGGGGGAGAAGTCCCTCCATCATGGGCTTTGCAACACCAGATTTATCAGGAGACACAGGGAATGTGTCACAGTGCCCTCGGGGTGAGATCAGCAAAGCAGGCAGGTCTGGGAGCAGGGATCACTCCCAGCAGAGCTGCAGTGCCCTCTCCAAGGGCAGGTCTGGGGGCAGCAGCTCTGCCAGGCTGCCAAAAACCAGCTGCACACCAAGGTGGGCAGGGTCAGAGCCCGGAGCCACCAGGCTGGGCAGTCCCAGCTGCTGAGACTGAAATGGCACCGTGGAGATGCTCCCTGGACAATCAGGATTTGCCTTTTCCTTCTCTCAGTTCCCTCGTTTATGTTCCTCCAGGACTTTTCCTGCTGACCTGGTCCTGCCATCCTGTAAATATTCCAGCATCACCCCAATTCCCCCTGAGGTCCTGCCCAGCCTCCCTGGACTTGCTGGCACTGGGGCCAGCTCAGTTTTCTGGTGGCTCAGGTCCCTCAGGCCCCTAATTCTGTTCCCTCACATCCACCAGCACCACCCTGGGCCCCAAACACAAGGTGACAATTCCCTGAAACACGGCAAATCCAAGAAAAACCCTTGGAAAAATGAATGAGGGCCCTGGGAAGAGCCAGGCTGAAATGTTCCTGGAGCTGACAGAGACACTTTTCCATCCCACTTTCTCACACCTGTGACAAACAGCAAACACACAAGTTCGTGCCAGAGCCCAGCAGTCACATCCTGATGCATTCCTTTGAAAAAAATCCCTGTATTAACTTTCCTTTCATTTGTAACACTCCAGACTACCCGAGTGTAAAGCAGTTGACACCCCTGATCCACTGGAACCATTGATTACTCCATCTCCTCATTTCCTCCCCCAGACACAATCTGTCACCATCAGCTGAGCCTCACCAGCTCCTTTCCAACAAAGCAGATGAAATGGCAACCAGACAGTCCCCACCCAGCCAGCCCTGATGGAAAAGAACCCAGCAAAGCTGTTCTTAGAGCAGCAAAGCTTCGCTCTTAAGGGGGAAAAAAAAATCTACAGAGCTTCGATATAGAAATAGAGAAGCTTCTTCCTCCTTTTTCTGCACTCATCCCAGCCCTGATCCTTTCAACCCAGAGGGATTCTGAGAGAGGGGCTGGCTTACCTTCATAGGTTGCTTTGAAGCCCAGCAGGTTGCTGACACTGTCTGTCTGGAAGAGGAGCCACATCTGGTGGTGGGTGCTGACGATGAGGTCGGGGACGGTGGTGCCCGTCAGGCTGCAAAGGGAAAGCAGCACAAATCAGCCTGTTTGCCTCCCAGAGCCAACAGAACAAAGGGCAGAGATGCCTCTGTAGGACCACAAAACAGCCAAACCAATGAAGAATCACCCCAAACCAGGACACTGCCCAAAAACCTGCTGCATTTTCCAGACTGTCTGGAAAACGCTTCCTTGTCTGTTCTGCCTTCTACCTGCACTGGGAGGCTTTTACCACAGCTTGAGGGCCTGCAGATTATCATCATCACCACCATAATAATTACAATTTGGTGCCATTATTGCAATATATTATCCAGCAACAAAAGGAATCATTTTCTTTCTCGCCCAAGCGAAACCACGAGCAAACAAATAAAATTCCCAGAACCCAAAAACCGGTGAGTGAAGCCCCTGAACTGCCTCGACAGTGTTTTCTAGCATTAGGAAAAATTGGCTTCCCCACACGTTCGCTGCAAAGCTTCCACCCTGAGAGAAAAGTTTCTAAGAGGTTCTAGGAAAAAAAAAAAAAAAGACAAAAAAACCCACAAGACAAAAAAAACCACGAAACAACAACAAAATAATAATAATAAAAATAAAAACAAACAAAAAACCCAACAAAAATAATAAAACAAAACCGAAACCAAAACAACAACAAAACCCAAACCAAACAAAAAAAGCCCTAAAAAACCAAACGAACAAAACCAATCAAAACAAACAAACAAACAAAAAAAACCACCTGGAAGCCAAGGCAGGAGCCTCGAATGTGCTGAGCACCCTGTGAGCCCTGGAGAAGTGCTGCTAATCCCAGGGATCAGGAGGTTTCCTTCCCTCCAGGATCCTCCCAGGGGAGCTGAGGGGATTTAGGGAGATGTCACCAATCCATCCCTGTTTATGTGGCTCGTTCAGCCCCAGGATTAATCCCCTCGTTGTGGTTCAACAGAGCTTTGGAGCTTTATCCCCCACCCCCAGGAGCACCTTCCAGGGCTCCAGCTCCCTTCCCTTCCCTGCACACACAGGAGCAGTGTGTGGGAAGGATCATTATTCCAGCAGCAGGATTGTTGTGTTGCCTGTCTCAGTGGCAGTGTTTAATGTTGTTATTGCACTATTTCTGCTCAGGTATTATCTGGGATGAATTTAGAAATTAAAGTGCAGCTCCTGCAAGGGGAGAGAGGAGGGTTTGGGGATTTTTTTTATTCTGTAGTGCAGGGGCTGGGTGGGCCAGGGTGGGGAGGCCCTGGCACAGGTTGCCCAGAGAAGCTGGCACTGGGTGAGCTTTAAGATCCCGTCCCACCCAAACCAGCCTGGGATGCTGTGGCTGCTCCAAGGGTTGAGCTGCTTCCTCAGCTTCCAGGACATTCCCAGCAGCTCCCTGGGAGTGGAAGGTTCTCTCCAGTTCAGGTATCTGAGGTGAGCAGGACCTGCCTGGCCAGGCACAGAACCCTCCTCCCCATCCCAGAGCCCCTCCCCAGCCCCACCAGGGTCAGACCTGCCCCCAGCCCCTGCTCCAGAGGGTGCTTTTTCCTGGAATCACAACCACCTCTCCCAAGCCCATCAGAGCCCTCCCAGCTCTGCCCCCACCTTTTACTCCATGATTCCTTTGACCTGCACCAGGAATTTTACTGATCCCAGGGTGCTGGGAAATGAGGAACTGATCTTGTTTTAATGCCTGTTTTGCACCCCAAGAGTTTGCTGCAGAGTGCAGGGGTGTTATTGTTGATTCTCCAGGTACTGAAGCAGCAGAGAGGCAGGAAGGAGGAGCACAGCAAGAGAAAAACCTTCAGGAAAAAAAGGGGGCTTCAAAGCTTCCCTCATTCTTTGCTATTCCACTTTAACAAGCCCAGTGATTGATTTGGGTGCTTGTTACTTTAGGGAATAAAATCCTCTCTGCAAGTCAGAAAAGCTCAGCCTAACAATCTGTTCTGTTCCCTGAGCTGCATTTTACAGGGGTGAGGGAGAGGCTGGAGACAAATGGTCCTTCCTGGCTCCGTTTTGGGATGGTGGCTGTGCTGTGCAAGCTGATTCCAGAGGGTCCCTTCATCTGAAAGGCAGCAGGAGCTGAGCCCCTCTTCCAACAGCCAAGAAGAAAGGAAGAGCAGCAAGAAAATTGGATCTCCTGTCTCTGACAGGATCAGGTTTCTGTGTTTTGATTCCTCAAAAAACCCCACAGCTGGTGCCCAGTGGATCTACCTGGATCCAGGTGACAGTGGGAGAAGTGCACACCAGTTACAGCTGGAATATTTCTGTGCTCTTCACACCTCTCTCATATTTAATTACCTTTCAACTTATCCTTGCAGATGATAAATAAATAAATAAAGAAAGAAACTTCCCTGTTAGGATCAGCATCAGGAATTTGCTTGAAAGTTCTCCTGCACTGGGTAAAGATTCCAGACACTGCACCTTTCCCAGTCCCAGCTATTCCACATTTGCATTAGCCAGGGGTTGGGGGGCTAATGCAGAGTGAGAAAAACATGGAATGACAACAAAGAAACCCAGGAAAATCTTCCTTGGGCTTCAGGCAAGGCCAAAGGGGAGGAAAAGGAGGAATCATTTCAGCAGGTTCTTACAAACTGCTCCCCTGGCAGTGATTTGCACATTTTGACCAACCAGCTGTGAAATGTTCTGGAACAGTTCAGTTACAAACACTTGGGCAATAATCAGCCTGCCAATTCCTGGAGCTCCTGACCAAAGGCTCATGGGCTGGGAAGAAACGTGGAGGAAAAGGAACCTCGGGGAAAACAAAGGTTTGGGCAAGACAAGGAAAGAGGAATGTGAGTGGAGATGGGGTGGGAGGCTGATCTGTGTGGGAAAAACAAGAGAAGAGGAAGAATGAAAAAAAAAAACCACAATATAACACCCTCCCAACAGTTGGCAAGAGCACAACAGCTTGGCTGGAGGAGTTTTGGAGAGGCCTGGAAGGAAAGCAGGACCATTTCTGTGTCTCCAACGCTGAAGAAACCCCCCCAGAACATCACATGTGCAGCCCAAAGGATGCAAATTGAGGGGGACAAATCCCAGACTTGAGGGGGCATCATTTACCCCAATGCACCCTGGGGTGTCTCACCCAAAGATAATGGATTTACACCTTGCACAGGTAACCAGGAGGACACAGAAGGACAGCCCAGGAGAGAGAGAGAGAGAGAGAAAACAGCCCTTGGACCCTGCCTGAGCTGCAGATCCTCTCGTATCCCAGGTTTTATCCTCTTCCCTCAGCTCCCTGGACACCCTCAGCCCCTCCCTGAGGGCTCCCCAAAGGCAGCTCAGGAGAAATGAGGTGCAGAGGGAAGAACACACCAGAACAGCCCCCAAAAATGACAAGCAGCACATAATTCCCCCTCCCCAGGGACAGGGAGCAGGGGGGGCTCCCCCATCCCAACCCCTCAGGCAAAGCCCAGGGCTGGCTTTCCCTCCCCCAGGGGCCTCAGGAAATGCTACTTACACATAAAGCACAGTTTTCTGGTCTCCCACTTGGCCTCCATCCCCCACTGTCAGGGTGTCATATCCCCTTTCCAGCTCGAACTCCTCGAAGGTGAGTTTGATGACCTGGCAAAGAGGCAGCAGGTTAACAGGGACCCCCCACCCCGGAGCCACAGCCAGCCCCTGCCCTGCCTGGCCATCTGCTGGGCTCTGCAGCTTCCAGGAGCATCCAGAACATCTCCAGGACATCCCCAAAGGTGACTGTCCTGGCTCTTCCCAGCCCTGGAGCTCCTCCCTGCAGGCAGACTGAGCTCCTCCCGAAACCACCTCTGGGATTTCTCTGCCTTATCCATCCATTTCCCACATGACTTTATTGATAAAAATGTGTGTGCTGGGACTCCAGCAGGCTTCTTTTCTCTTTCACCAGGTTCCTCTGCCCTTTCCTTGCCAGCCCTGAAATCCTGTCTGTGCAGGTGCAAGTGGAGAGTCTTTCTTTTGCTTTGAGTTCCTCCCAAAATTCTCCTGGTTTCTGGTCAGACCAAGAGAGGATTTATATGAATTACCACTGGGAAATTGTCTCAGGCTGTCTGCAAACACAATCATCATCATCACATCTGTCCACAGCTCTTTGTGTCCTGTGTTTTCCCTCCTGTTCCACCCAAATTTCCACCCCCACTCCACTTTTCCAGCCCCCACGGAGCACAAACCCCATGGACACCCAGAGGTTTGGGTCCCAAAACCTTTCAGCTGCTTTGGAAACCTCTTGTTTTCAAATCCAACATGATTTAGGGGACAAAGGTCCTTAATCCAGGCTGAACAAACAGAAAAGGAAGAGAACTTCATTTCCAGAAGTGTTTTCCAGAACAATCAATGGAGCTTTGGGTTCCTGGAGCTCTTTCAGTGACCTGAGCCAGGAAAGCACTTGGATCATCAGACCTTTGTGCAGGTGCCTGTAAACACATTGCATTTCCTCGCTTTTAACAGATTAAATCACCAAATTTGAGTCCAGGCCCCCTTGGGCTATTTTAGACAATGCAGAATTATCAAAAGGAATTCAGCAGGAGGAGCCACGTTGGTGCCAAGGCCCACAGGCACCTGATGCCACCCCAGGGCATCCCAGGGCCCATCTTAGGGCCAGGACCAAAGGCACAGGGAAACCAAAATCCTGCTCTCTCTCATTTCTTACCTATTAAAAAAGCAGCACCTCCTGCAAACCCTTGAGCACATAAGAGTCCCAAAGTTCAAACCAAAAGCAAAAACAATAATGGTGTTTCTGTAGCTGAGGCTGAGCTGTCCTGTGCCACCCCCTCCTCCACATAAACACAATATTTCTCAAAAGCCCAGAAATGAGGGATTTGAGCCACGACCTCCTGAAAAATCAGAGTTTTCCCCCAAGCCCTGGGATGGTGAAACAGGAGCTCTCGTGTGAGATCCTTCAGACAACTGTGGAACCATTAACTGGAGTGGCAGCACCCAAATATTAACCTGTGCAGGTCGGTATTAAAGCCTGTAATGATGGAATAATGTAATTAATACAAAGCTGTAACGCTGCACACATCGTTAGTTCAATCACCCACTCAAGTGAGCTGCATTCTGAGGAGCCTGACCCTAATTAAACAACTAATTACATTCTAGCACACTCAAGACTGTAACCTCGTGGCACAGGAACTGGATGCTGAATACAATATTTATTTATCCATTTCCCCATTTTCTTTTTTTTTTCTTTTTTTTCTTTTTTTTTTTTTTTTTTTTTTTTTTTTTTTTTTTTTTTTTTTTTTTGGCTCCAAAAGCTGAAAATTATTTAATGATTCATTAAACCAACAAGAGCCCTCCCAGCACACACAAACACACGGGGGTGACACAAAAAGCTCCGTTTTTAAGCTGCTGAAGTGACAGGAAGCAATTAGCAAAGCCAAGAAAATCGGGCTGGAATGTGACACCTGATCCTAAAGCTTTGTGGCACAAAGTGATTTGAAGTGCAGTCACATTCAGAGGGGAAAAAAACCCAATAATTCCCTCCATGAAACACCTCTTGCAGTTACATTGAAATGCGTTACAAGCACGTTACTCATCTCCCCCTTCTCCCCAGGCTCCAGCATTTCTCTTAATTTGGGATGAATCCTCCCCTGGAGGGGCCCATCTCCCTCCAGCACAAAAAACCTTGGACAGAGCTTCATTTATTTGGTTCATGAGAGCCCAGGTGAGAACAACCCCGGGAGAAACATCAACCAGGAACATCCATTATGGCAAAAAAAAAAAGGTCCAGAAATCGTTTTTATGCAAATCCCCCAATTATCATATTCATTTCTCAGCTCCCTGGTGATTTATTTTTCCCACTGTGGTGGAAACTCATTCCCATGGCACCAAGGACCAGCAAAAAAAAAATCCCAATAGCCTGAAAACATCCCCCAAAATGGGTTTGATGTCACCCTCTGGCTGGGGAATAATTGCAGGTTGTCAGTGAGGAGCTCTCTGCCCTCAGAGCTGCTGGGGGAGGATTCTGAGCAAAACTTGGAGGGGATTATGGGGCTCAGGGAATCTGGCTGAGGGTTCTTTTCCAAATATAGACCAGAGGACTTGCAAATGAGCTCCAAATTCAGCTCCCCTGGTTTTCCAGGCTCAGGTTAAAAGCTCCTTGTAACAGGACCTGATCCAAGGACCACTGGAGTCAATAAAAGGATTACACTGAATTCAGCAGGATCCTGCTCAGCCACATGAGGCTTCTCATATTCCAAGTATTTTACAGGCATTTCAGTGAATTCAGCCCCAATCCCTCCCTTATCCACACTGGGAAATGGGGGATCCACACTGGAATTATCCTTTTGGCCTTCCCAAACCCCTTCCTTCTCACCCCTCCCTGCTGCAGAGGCACAGAGAGGTTTTTCCCCACCTGCAAATTCCACTTCCAGGATGAAAAAAAAAAAAAAAAAACCACCAGAAAATTTTATAAACTTATAAATTTATAAACCTTTCTAAAACTGCTATTATTAATTAACTAGTTATCACTTTGCAGAAAAGGGAGTCTCTTCACACAGCTCATAAAAGCTGTTGGTTTAACCAATCCAGCCATATTTCACTGTTAAAATCTATGATGTGCAGCCCAGGGAGCACAAACTGCAGTCCTGCTGCTGTTAAATCTCTGCTCTGGGTGGAGAAGTACCAAAATGAATGGATTTTCCCAATTTCCTCCCCCTCTGTGAAAGGATCAGGACCTGCAGATTCTGTTTCCTAATTAACAGTTCATTATTACCCAGGGTTAAAAGCTGAAGAAGAAACCAAACGTGGGAAGAGGAGCTTTCCCTGAGGAGAAATTCCATTGAGAAAGGAGACAATCTGCCCAGGAAGCTTAGAGGAGAAGCTCATCCCACCACAGTGCTGATGGAAAAGCTGGAAAACTTTGGGCCCAAGACTGGCACGACAGCAAAGGAACAGAGCTGAGGGTTAGACTTGAATATTCAACACAAAACAACACCCTGAAGGGTCAGTGAAATACTGGACATGGCCCATGGGTGGATTTTGATGATGATTTCCACCTCCTCCTTCATAGTCTGTGACAGGAATCCCAGCTGGAAGTGTATCCCACATCCACATCCAGCTCCCCACGACTTCTTCCCAAACCCAGAGATCTGGTTTATGCACACAAGAACTGGATGTTGCTGATTTTTGAAGTCAAACACACAGAAAAAATGACATATAAAGTAAAACACACATTCCCCAGCCCAAGCTGGTGAGTATTCCATAACCTGGGAATGGATACCCAGGAGCCATGGGATGGAAGCACAGCTGACACCTGAGCAGGAAGAGCTGCTGTGGCCTGTCCTCCACTGCACATCCCACCCCCTGGGGCTCATTAACCACCAAATCACTGCTAATGAGCCAGCACTGAAGAATATCCTGATTCCAAGCTCCCCTTTCCCAGAATCCGGGTCATTCCTGCACTCCTGGGCAGCCAAACCACGGCTGGGTAATGCCAGCCTGGGCTCCAACCTCCCTGGCAGCTGGAAGGGGGGGTTGTTCCTCACAAAAACCAGGATCCACCAGGGATCTGGGCTTGTTAAAGGCTTGAACTGAGAGGGAACTCAACAGGTTCTTCAGCCACGAGCTCGGGGGGGAGGTGACAGCAGGGCACTGCCAGCAATTCCCAACAATTCCCAGGAAAAAAGACAAGGTCCTGGGGTAGCAACACGTCTGGGAGACACCCTGCTTGGCTCAGCAGCAGGTCCAAAACATCCCTGAGGGAATAACCCTGGGAGCTCTGAGCCCTGGGCTGCAGGATTCCCTCCTTTGGGATGCTCAGAGCCCTGGGCTGCAGGATTCCCTCCTTTGGGAATAACCAGGGATGCTCAGAGCCCTGGGCTGCAGGATTCCCTCNACTTCTTCCCAAACCCAGAGGTCTGTTTTATGCACACAAGAACTGGATGTTGCTGATTTTTGAAGTCAAACACACAGAAAAAATGACATATAAAGTGAAACACACATTCCCCAGCCCAAGCTGGTGAGTATTCCATAACCTGGGAATGGATACCCAGGAGCCATGGGATGGAAGCACAGCTGACACCTGAGCAGGAAGAGCTGCTGTGGCCTGTCCTCCACTGCACATCCCACCCCCTGGGGCTCATTAACCACCAAATCACTGCTAATGAGCCAGCACTGAAGAATATCCTGATTCCAAGCTCCCCTTTCCCAGAATCCGRGTCATTCCTGCACTCCTGGGCAGCCAAACCACGGCTGGGTAATGCCAGCCTGGGCTCCAACCTCCCTGGCAGCTGGAAGGGGGGGTTGTTCCTCACAAAAACCAGGATCCACCAGGGATCTGGGCTTGTTAAAGGCTTGAGCTGAGAGGGAACTCAACAGGTTCTTCAGCCACGAGCTCGGGGGGGAGGTGACAGCAGGGCACTGCCAGCAATTCCCAACAATTCCCAGGAAAAAAGACAAGGTCCTGGGGTAGCAACACGTCTGGGAGACACCCTGCTTGGCTCAGCAGCAGGTCCAAAACATCCCTGAGGGAATAACCCTGGGAGCTCTGAGCCCTGGGCTGCAGGATTCCCTCCTTTGGGATGCTCAGAGCCCTGGGCTGCAGGATTCCCTCCTTTGGGATGCTCAGAGCCCTGGGCTGCAGGATTCCCTCTGGAGCCAACAAGGGTGGTGCTGGTGGGAACTCAGGGACTGAGAGGAATGAGACCTGTCACCTCCTGAGAGCAAATACAGGGAATAACAGGGAATAACACCTCGGGAAGTGTGTTTTGAGCCACACAGCAAAGTCATTTTCGTTCTTGTGCTCCCACCCAGATCTGGAGGAGGGACACGGGCTGAGACTGAAGGGCTGGAAAGAGCTGAGCCACCAGCACTGCCCTCAACTGCAATTCCATTGGAAAATGGGAAGGAATTGATCCTTCCCAGGCCAAGGCAGTCAGACCTTGCTCTCTCCAGCCTGGAATCACCCCCAGAGAGGACTTGCTCATAAATTAACAACACTGCACGAACAGCGGGAGACGAACCCACAGCTCCCCCTCCCCAGCCCACCCTCTGCCCTTTGGGGGCTGAGATGCTGCTGGTCCAGGGCCTGCAGCAGAGCCTTTTTGCCCCTGGCTGAGGCACCCCAGGAGGCCCCCCAGGACCCACCTTGGCGGGGTTGAGGGCGGTGATGACCCACACGCAGTAGGCGTTGTTGTCGTACTGCACCGGGTAGTTGGGGGACGTGATGACCCCGCTGGGCCCCCTCAGGTACGTGTCACACATCCTGGCTGGGGACACAGACAGCACAGTGAGACCTCTGCAGCCAAAACCCCCAAAATCACCACCCCCTGTTGGCAAAACTCCCCTTTTTCCCCCCTCGTGCAGCAGAGATGGAGGATTTGTCTGTCGGAGGGTTTGTCTGTGGGGCTCTTCAACCAACCAACAACAACCCACTCTCCAACCTTGCTGGAGACCATGAATAAAGACTGACTTTATTCACACTCTCCAACTTTATTGGAGACCATTTGATTCATCATTCTTATTTTATTCATCTTTCTTTTTTTTCTTTCTAAAGCCCTCGCGAAAATCATTTCGCAACCGACCACGTGGAATATTCTGGCTGAGATGCAGCTCCTTTTTCATGTCCCCCCCCTCAAAAAAAAAAAAAAGCCATCTTTCCTTTCTTCTTGCAGATCAAAAAAAAAGAAAAAGTAAAAAATACTGCATGGCAAGAATTTATGATGTAATTATTAAGTATTTATCAGGCTGGTTTCGTTCAGACACGACCGTGGGCTCAGAACTGAGATGGCAACTCAGCTTTGCATCTTAAAAACATCTCAGGTAAAGGAGGAGCTGGAAAGTGCTTAAACAGGGAAATTTTGGCCTGTGGTATCCCTTTGATGCAATATTTAGCTGGAATATTTCACCAGGAAATGTGAAGAGCAGCATCCTGGCTCTGGAGCTGCCTCTGCTCTCGGGACGGAGCCTCAAAATTCAAATTTATTTCAAATCTCAAAGGAGAAGTATTTGCATACGTGGCATCTGCAAGGCTTTTTTTTTTCCCCCACCACTCCAAATTGCAGGAAAACACGGAAAACCATCTCCTGGCCAGGCTGGGACACAGGGGAACATGTGGAAAAGCAAGAGCAGGTTGGGAAGGAGCTGAGGGCATCTCTCCATGGTGCTAAATCACATCCCTCCTGCCTAACCCTGGAGCTGTCCCAGCTAATCTCAACAAAAAAAAAAGGTAAATCCCATTATTCCCAGAGGGAACCTGCTGTAGATGGGGGAGCTGAAAAAAGTCTCCCATCAGTGGCTCAAAGTTTGATCCCTGGGGATCAGAAATTCTCCCAGCCCAGGGGGGTTAAAACCTGTTCACTGGGATTTCCCAACTGGAGAGAAACCCAAAGGGAAAATGGAACTGAAATAAAGAGCAAATGGAAAACTTTTCAAACAGGAAAAAAAGCACAACACAAAATTAGCAGTTAAAAAAATTAAGTTGATTCAAAGAGACACAATAACAGAGGCAAATCCTTTCTTATCTCTTGCAAGAGGACACCATAAATTTCCTTTATAGCGTCATATATTTATGCCAAATATCCTCTTACACTGATTCAATTTATTCCAGGCTTGTTTCAAGAATTAGATGGGATTCCAAAGCCTTGAAAAAAATCTGCAGATGAAATTAAAGAAAAAAAAAAAAGAACTGAAAAAAAATACCTATTTATGACTTTAAGAGCTTTAAAGGGATTTCATTAAAAATATTACAAGTTGTTCATTATTAGCATTACAAATATCACATTATGCATGGAACTCCTTTGGAGAAGGAATGAAAACAAAATGGCCAAGGGCAAAATGGGCATCAGTGTGTTTTCCATTGAAAGAAAACTCCTCCACTGAAAGAAAACTCCACTGGGGGATGGCTCATGGCACAGGACCATCGGGATGATGCCACTGAGGAACCAGAGCCCAAAAATCCCACGTGGATGCCCAAGAGCAGCAAGTTCCAGTTCAAAAAAAAAAAAATCTGCCTCCATCTCTGCTTTTCCAGATTTTATTCCAGGCTTTCACTCTTTTCCCCTTCTCCTCCTTGTCCCCTAAAAGGAAATACTTGGAATAGAGAGATGACCCTTGGATAATGGGAAAGGGAGGGTGGGGAGGCCCTGGCCCAGGTTGCCCAGAGAAGCTGTGGCTGCCCCATCCCTGGAAGGCTCCAAGGACAGGTTGGACAACCTGGGCAGAAATGGGAGGTCTGTTCCCTCCCTTGGAACGAGGGGCCTTTGAGGTCCCTCCCAACCCAAACCATCCAGGGCTTCCCCAGCCTTACCCAGGGACTCCAAACCTGGGCTGATGCACCCAGGGGACCCTGAGGGGAGGGGTTTTCCCACCCATCCCAGTAATCCAGGGAAGTTTTGTGCCTCCTCACCTCTGCAGACGGGCCTGTGGTCGCTCCAGGCCACGATGAGGTCGCTCACCCTCTTGCAGGTGATGCTCCTGGAGCCCTGCAGGTCGTAGCCCTCGTTGCAGGAGAACTGGATGCTGGAGCCCAACCTGGCAGGGGAGCAGGACATGAATTCCCAGAGCTCCTGGCCCAGCTCTGCCCCCTCTGCCCCACCCCATTCCTGGGAATTCTGCAGGAACAGCCCCGGGGGGCTGAGCTCCAGCAGCACATCCCAGCCTTCCTGGGAATGCCATCCCGTGTGGGAGCACACACACAGCCCCAGGAGGTGACATGCTCAGCATCCTCATGTGAAAAAGTGGGAAAAAAATGTCCTTTATCTGCTGCTGAGAGGTTTGCTCTTGGTTCTGTGGGTTTGGGTCCAGCCCCTTCACTGCCTTTTTCACCCTTATTCCCTCCTTATTCCCCCAGAAGACACAATCCAGCTGGGAGACTTTATCCTGGGGCATTTAGGGACTGCTGGGAATTCACTTTTCTCCACCCTCACCAGTTTGCTGGATTTCAGAATTTGGTAGAACTCGGGTTCAACTGAAAGGCACTTTTTGTGACCAAAAGAGCCACCAGCAGCAAAATAAGCTGAAATATCCATCCCCCATTGCTGACCACAGGCTGGGTCACTCCTACCCACTGGAAAGGAACATTTGCAACTGGAAGGGAATAACAGCATTGTTTGAAACTTTATAAAAAATCCCCAATTAACTCGTCCCACAGCCACTCACTGACAAGGAACTGTATCAGTCACCTCAAACTCTCTCGGGGCAGGGCTTAAAAAGTGATTTTTTTTTTGGCTGTTCAAGAGAGTTTTCCTGCACTTAACCAGAGGGGGAATGACAACACACATGGATTGTACAACCTGGCTAAACACCTGGGTTGTCAGAGGGTAAATACTCAAAGGGATCACCCCGGATGCTCAGGTGGGACACACATTTATTCACATTTATTCTCCTCCTCCCTAACGTGGGCAGGGATTTTCAGAGAGGACACATTAGAGGTGGGCAGATGGTCTCAGAAAACAGACTCCAGAATGCCAAGGAGCACAAACATGGCACAGAACAGGAGCTTTGGCAGCATGCAAAAGAAAAAAACCACAGAGGGAAAAGGTTCTTACCTAAAATCGTTGCCTATTCTTTTGCCTCTCTCTGGAATCCCAGGGTCTGGACACATATTATGTCCCTGGGACACACCAACCTGAGTTACTACAAAGCAAAAAACAGCACATACAGAGACAGAATAGCAAAAGAAACATTCTTTCATCAACTGTCTTTGGTGGATGTGGAGAGAAAAAATGGCAACCGGCAGCTCGAAAAACCTGAACGTGTTCCATTTTGTGAGGGAAAAAAAACCAGCTTTGGAAACAAACACCCTGGAATCATTTCAGCTCAGCTCGTACAGCAAAGTGTTTTCTAGGAAACCACAGCTAGGGACACGGTTTTCCCTCTTTTCCATTACAGAAGTACCTCTGAAAAGAGTTGGTTTGGGGTTTTTTTTTTCCCCAGATTCTGCGAAATTACCCCCAGTTAACCAGCCCATTTAAAAGAGCCACCTGTGACCCATCCAGGTGACATCCTACACCCGAGCCAGCGGTGCCAGGGGAAGGAAACAGCTCCATGGGAAGGCAGGTGTGTGATACCAGGGGGGAAAAAAACCCGGGCACGGAACAAAAGGCAGAAAGGAGGGGGGGAAATGCCAGTCGAGGGGTTCAGAGCGAGTCAATTAAGTCTGAGCGTGGGAAACCTTATGAAGCGACCTCAGAGTAACTGCCAAGGACCACGAGAGCCATGGAGTTTCCATGAAACCATGGAAATCATGGGGTGAGAGACCTTCCAGCTCCACTCTCCACCTCCCCGTTCCCAGCCCTGTCCCAGGCGCGACCGAGCGTTTGGGGTGGGGGCAAAACCCTCAGTTCCACCCGGAATTCCAGCAGCTCCCAAAGGGGCAAAGAGGGCATTTTGCCACAGAAGCTGCAGAGTTTGATGGCACCAAGGGGAGGACCCGAGGAAAGCACACCACTCCTTGGTGTGAATCTCTAACACCCCGATTTCCATCCTGCCTCTGCCTATCCCTGGATTCGAGGGGGAAGCCCAATCCTGATTCCCAACAGGCTGCATCAGCACAGTGCCCCCAAGGCCAGGGCCAGATGGGTGATGGAGCAGTGACAAAAGCACGTTCCTCACGACACACACGTGGGCTCCAGAGCTGGAGCCTGGCAGGAGATGGAGAACAGGGACAGAGGAGGGGGGAGAGAGAGAGAGAGAGAAAGCACGAGGGGTGTCTGCACAGACTGCACAGGGGGGACACACAGAAAGCCAAGACCATCAGATATGTAATTATCCAGTGGGTAATTACACCTGGAGTAGCCAGGGACTGCAGCTGGGAGATGGAAGTGTTCCTGCAAGGAGGGGAGGAGCGCCGGGACAGGGCTTCTGTCTGCACCCAACTGCTGCTGCTGGGCCAAAACCATCCCAGCCCCTGGCCTCCTCCTCAGCACTGACATCTCATGTTGTGCCCTTTAGTTCTGAAAGGGCCCTTTTTAGCTCCTGCCCTCCCTTCCCACCCTGTGCTGGAGCAGGGATGGGGCTGTCCCCTGTGTTCCCACCTTGGTGTTCCCACTCTGGTGTCCCCACCTTGGTGCTCTGTGCTCTCCTCTGGGTGTTTGAGGGCACAAAGGGAGCAGAAACATGGATTCATGGAAACCAGGTTCCTCAGAGACTGTTTTCCCTCCTCTGCATGTTCATGACCTCATGTTAAGCTGTCAGGTGGGGAGGGGGGAGCATGAAACCAGCACAACCCTCTGACTGCTGCCACCTCTGAATGGCCCCCAAAGGCTGAAGGAAAGCAGCAGCCTCTGCCTTCAAACACCCACATTTTCAGCAGCTCCTGAAAATGAAAGGTCAGCTCAGCAAAGTCCTCGGGTGGCACCGACTTCCACGGGGTGTCTTCAGTCTCTACCCACACCCCCACCCCCAAATGTGACCCCTGGGCACAAACCCAGCCAAACCAACCCTCCAGGCTAAGGCTGGACACCACAAGGCCACGTGGAAGTGCTGAGACTTCTCATCTTCCTCCTGTACCTTGCCCAGAGTAAAAATCCCCCCCGAAGAATCCCCCCCTGGAACACACACAGACACCCTGCAGCGAGCTCTGGGTGCTCTTCTGGCACAACAAACCCCCTGCCCACAGCAAATCCTTCCTCCTGTGGTCAACAACCCCCCCCAGACAACCCTTTCCACCCCACTGGGTGGTTTACTCTGCACTCTCACAGCCAGTTATTCATTCCCATATTTGATAACCTCTCACTCAGAGCCCTGGGAGGACCCAGAGCTGCAGATGACCAGCAAAAACAGGTTGTCAGCTGCCAGTCACACTTCTGAAGGCTAAAACCAGTTAATCTCTTGTTAGCTGGAGATTTATTAACACCTCCAGAACACTTGTAGATAAAGCAGAGAACAGATAAGATAAAAGCTGAGCAAGGGGGAAAGGAAAGATATCTCCATATCATGGGATTCTCCTTGCTAGTGTGAAGGAAAGAGAAAGGAAAGAAGATGGATTAGATGGTCACTTACAGGAAACTTTTGTTCTCTCCCTTTTGTTTCAGGCACACAACTAACTCAGGGGTTAGGAAGCAGATTTGTCATGCTGAGAACTGTCAGCCCTGTGTTCACCTTCCTCAAGCTCTGACTGATCCCTGCTGGGCTGTTCCCAGCACAGGAATCCTTCAAGGTCACTGGAAAAACAATGGCTCTCACCAGCTGGGATGAACTGTTCCATTTCTACATAATAAACTCCAGGATTTTCTCTCCCCCAAACCCTGGAACTCGTTTTCCACCCCTTGGTTCTCCTCCTGATTTTTTTCCAGCAGCTTTTCCCACCGTGAATTCGACGACAGCCAGTTCCTGATTGTTCTTTTTTTTTGCCACAGGAATTTACTCTTAAAAATCTGTTTTAAAGGAACTCAGAACCTTCCTTGGTTCCCTCCCAGGTTAACCAAGTTCACTGAAACACCCCTAAGGGACAAGTTTTTACTGAATTTAGGAATATAAAACATGAACTACCCCCCGCCACCTGATGCCAAAGCAGCCTTGCTGCAACGACCCAGAACTTCACACACTTGGCTGAGACCTAAAACTGCTCCAACCCCTCCCAAATGCACATTTAAAACGGATTTTGACCGATCTGAAGGTGCACAGAACTTTCACTCCTCCATCCCAGCCCTCCCAGTCCCCCCCAGCAGTGCCTGTTCAGGGGGGGCCTCCCTCAGAGGTCACAAAAGCACCTCAAAGGTCACAAAAGCAACTTTGGTGCTGTTTTTTAAGAACAAATGCCATGTTTTTCCCACTGGAGTGTCCCCATTTACACCCCGTGTGCAGGAACAGAAACAGGAACAGAAACAGCCTCCCAAACACAACCTAAAACTAAAAACTATTTCTTCTCTCTCAGCCTCCAGAGCTGTGTTATTTTGCCTCTAAAAGTGGTTAAAGGGAGATGTCCAAATAATTTCAGGGATGGTGAACAGCACAAGGCACTTGATTACAATCCCAAATAAACACATTTGACTACAGCTGAACACAGGAAGCGCCTCCCCCCAAAATTCCAGAGTTTTATGTGGGGTTTTTACCCCTCAAACAGCACCAGCACTTGTGATGTGACTGAGTTTTGCCTCCATTCAGACCCACAAAACACAAGGGTTTACCCTGGCCAGGTGACCCCAACCCCAGTGTCCACCCAGCCAAACCCAAACCCTCTGTGACCTGCAGGGTTTTAAGAAGAGACTCTGCCAGGCAGGATTTTGGGGCAGATGCAAAGGGAATAACTGAGAGTAAAGCCCAGACTTGGAGGTTGGACTTGATGAGATCCCAGAGATCTTTTCTTTTCCAGCCTTAATGACCCTGTGATTCCCTGGCAGAGCTGTCACCAAGAGACACAGGCATTCCTAAATTTCTTGTATTTGAGCCAGAGCAACTCCAGCAACCCTCAGTGACCTTTATCAGCCCGTCCCACCTGCACAGTTCTCTGGGAGGCAGCCTCGTGGAAGTGGCACAGCCAACCATGCAAATCAGAGCCACCAGGGGAAAGGAGCAGATAACACTCTGGGCTCCTTCTGCTGAGAGAAAAAAGCACCATTTCCTGGCGGCATCTTCCCTGGAATCAGCACTCCTGCAGCTGGAACATTCCCTGTGGGAGCAGGGGAGAGCAGGAGGCCGTGGGAGATAGAGGTTAATCAGGGCTGGCAATCCAGGGGCACAGGGAGGGGGCTGGAGGCACCAGGGGGGTGGGGATGGGCAGAGTCTGGGCCACTGGCACCATCTACACCAGGACAGCTTGGCAGCTCTGGGGCTGAGCTGCCTCCCTGCTCTGGGGTTGATCCTCAGGGTGGGATCAGCACTCACAGGATGCTGAGCTGGGGTTGATCCCCCCAGGATGGGATCAGCACTCACAGGATGCTGAGCTGGGGTTGATCCCCCCAGGATGGGATCAGCACTCACAGGATGCTGAGCTGGGGTTGATCCCCAGGATGGGATCAGCACTCACAGGATGCTGAGCTGGGGTTGATCCCCCCAGGATGGGATCAGCATTCACAGGATGCTAAGCTGGCAGTTCTGGAGCTGCTCTGGGGTTGATCCCCCCAGGATGGGATCAGCTCTGCACAGGATGCTGAGCTGGCAGCTCTGGGGTTGATCTCCAGGATGGGATCAGCACTGACAGGATGCTGAGGTGCCTCCCAGCTCTGGGGTTGATCCCCAGGATGGGATCAGCACTCACAGGATGCTGAGCTGGGGTTGATCTCCAGGATGGGATCAGCACTCACAGGATGCTGAGCTGGCAGCTCTGGAGCTGCTCTGGCAGGTGAGGATGAGCTGGGCAGAGGCAGGACTGGGACAGAGGGTTCACTGCTGTCTCCTGCTCCACCTCAGCACCATTCCCAGAGCCCACACAGCGAGTTAGAAACGGGTAAAAACTGCTCCAGGGAAGCAGCTGAGCATTCCTGGGAAAGAGAAATGGGAATCCTACATATTCTTAACACCAGAGTAATTCTGTCAACTAAAGACTCGAAGCCAGGCTGGCATTTGTCATCCCCTTCCCCACATTCCCCACGTCCAAGACATCAGACCCCCCACTCCAAACACATCCCTCTGTCTCCACACAGAGCCAGTGGTGTTTTCCAACTGAATATCATACTCAGTTTAAGTGAACTGGAATGTTCATTACAATTAAACTCTTCTTGGCAAAGCATAAATCACCCAGCCAGGAACATCTTGCACACCGAGTTTTTCCTTAAAAATCGAATCCACTCCCTCTAAACACCCCCCGACATTTTCTGCTCTGGAGGTTTTTTGGGCAATTCACAGCCTCCTGTTATTATTTGCCTTGTTGGGCCTTGCTCCTGGAAAAACCAGAGACTAAAAGCACTCTCAGGTGAGCCACTCTCACTGCAGACAGACAGCAAAGCACGTTCCAAACCCAGCTCGTCGTTTCTTAACTCAGGTTTTTGTATCCAAAATCCAACCCAGTGAAATGCCATGGACTGTGCAACAACACGAGCAACTCCACCCTCTCCCCTAAAAACTGAGGGAAAAACATGTTCCACTCTGCTCCCATTCGAATTCATATAAAATATTAACTTTATTAATTAATTCAGATCCCTCCTGTTCCACCTCAGGGTCCCCTCAGGAGCCCGAAGGTCCATCCAGAGTCACACACGGGAAGAAACTCTGAGTTTTGCTTCTGCTTTGAGAAGAACCTGATGGAAAGATGGATGGACCTAAAGGATCCCCCTCCTGCCAGGGGGACACACTGACACACCACCCTAACACAGCCACTGGAACAGAGACCCAAAAATCAGTGGTACAAGCCCAGCAATGTCACGATTTTTCTGCAGGGACAACTGAATAAAATTCAAATAGAAAGAGAAAGAGCCTGCTGCCATCTCTGCAGGCTTGCTGAAAGGTCTTCTTGGTGCTGTTCTTTATCCCTACTCCTAATTTTACAGCAACATTAACTCAGTTTTCCAAGTTCTTTCCAGCTGGACACTTTCCACACTAAAAGGCTGTCATTGATCAGCAGAATACAGTATATATTCCATATAAATATTCCACACACACCCCCCAGTCCCCTCCAGGCCACTCTGAGGAGTTAGTAAATGCTTGTGAGCAGAGCACTGGGAGGAAGTGATGCAGTAATGGGGAGGGAAGAGAGGGAGAAGCACCACGACAAAGTTTTAGAGATTACTGGAAGTCAAATGAAATGTTCAAGGAGATCATTTATACGAAAAGACAGAGAAGGAAGAGCCAAAAAACTTACACACTGATGTCTTCTGGTTGTTGTCCTTGCTGGGCATGAGCTTCACCCCCCTGGACTTGAGCTCCATTTGCTTTTTGACTGCAGGGACAGATGGAAAACAGAGGAAAGACAAGGAAAAGGTTTAGCTGAGCAGCAGGGATTAGTTAAAAAGAAAATGAGGAGACACTTGTACATCACCCACCCCCTGCATCCTTCCCTTGGCTGACACAACTCACCCTGACCCCCCAAACCAGGAGGGACCCTTTCATTCACCGTGTTAGGGCTGGATTGGTGGCCTTGGAGAGCTTTTATTTGAAGATAAAAACAGGGGCTGAACTCCCCATCCCTCTGCAAGCACACCATTAACACACCACAGATGGGGGAGAGGCAAAAGGGAAGCCCTGAGAAACTTCAGGGATCCTCAGAGGGAAATGCTCAGTGAGTTCCACCCAGTTTTCCATGGATACATCACACAGCAAAGCCACTCTCTGCTTCCATGAACTCTAAATATGGCCTGGGGGGGTGTTAGGCTCAAAAAGGCAGCAAAACAGCAGGAAAAAAACTCAAAAAAACCATATTATTGGCAAAGAGAAGGGTAAATCCACCATGAACAGCCACAGGAAGAGCTGGATGGTGACTGTGCCCAAGGTCCAACGGGAACAACCTCCCAGCAGGAAGCACAACATCCAAAATCCCTTCCAGGAGCCTTTTCCTGGAGCAAACCAGCCCATCTCCCACTTCAAACTGCTCTCCCCTCTTTATCTTCCTCTTGTCATCCTTTCATCCCTAAATTAGCACATTCCAGAGACAAAGCTGTCAGGAAGAATTACCCCTGTCACTAACAAGGGTTTTTTTTTTTTTTAATCATGCCATTTTATTATTTTTTTTTTTTTGCTTAAAAACCAGCCTGTTTGGAACATCTGTTCACAGGGAGCTTCAGACAGGGAGCTGTGGATTGTCACTTCTTGAAGCTCAACTTGGGGCAGTGCTTTGAGAGAGAGAGAGAGAGGCTGGATGGGAGCTTTTCATTCATCATTTGCTCACAGCTTTTTGCTTTCTCTTTAAATAAAGCAGGGAGAACTTCAAACTCAGCCCCCTGCACCAGCTTAAAAAAATATTCATGAGGAAAAGTCACATCTTTCTTACCAGCATTGGTATGTTCAGACTGTGCAGGGGGGTTGTCTAATTTTTAATTTAAGAGGAGAACACTAATTAACAGCAGGCCACTATCAAAGGGAATCTAACACTTGTTTCTTTTGACTCTAAATCCACCTGCAAATGCAGCAGGAGGGGAGTAGAAGGTCTCAGGATGCCCCAGAGATCCCCAGAGTCCTGCAGGTCACGGGGTGTTTGCAGCCTGACCTCGAGGTTTTTAACAAATCTGCCATCAAGGGGCCACAGAAAGGACAGGGGGCTGCCAAAACTCACATTTCTGGGGCAAAACCCCCTATTTCTGCCTCAACCAGGTTATCCTGCAGAACAGTGCAGTCCTTTCCAAGCAAGCACAGGGACAACCCTGCAGTTCCAGCCAATAAAACCCAGCCAAGTCTGAGCATCCAAGGATAAATTTGAGCTGCTGCAGGATGTGCTGGGGTGATTTTACAGGGTCTAATCCACTGCTTTGGGGCACGAGCAGTGGGGGAGCAGCTTTCCAAAAATAATCCCCATTTTTACATCCTCCACAACTTCCCACTGCCAAGTCCCTTTGTCCAGAGGAATGTTTGTGCCAACCCACCCTTGGCACAGCACAGGGTCTGATGGAGGGGACCTGCAGCCTCAGGGGACAGGCAAAGATGCCAAGCACTGGTGCCCCCTCCCAGGGCTGGGGCTGGGGCTGAGGGGGGGGGTAACACAGCCCTGGCAGGGTCAGGACACCCCAACTGCCCAGCTCCAGCATTCCCCTAGTGCTGAACATCCCAAATCCAGCAGAAGGGAGTGGAACAAGATGGTCCTTGGGGTCCCTTCCAGGGTCAGGACACCCCAACTGCCCAAATCCAGCAGAAGGGAGTGGAACAAGATCGTCCTTGAGGGCCCTTCCAGGCTCAGGACACCCCAACTGCTCAACTGAACATCCCAAATCCAGCAGAAAGGGGTGGAACAAGATGGTCCTTGAGGTCCCTTCCAACCCACACCATTCCCTGGCTTCTCCAAGGCATGGAGAGTTCCTGACAACCAAAGCTGCCCCATGTTCAGCCCTGCCAGGTGACAAACACCCCCCTCCAAAGCTGGGCCTAAGGCTCCAAAATTCCAGCACTAATGAAAAGGAGCAGCACACACCAGACACTCATTACCAAGCAGAATCCCAAATCCAGAACCCAGGACTGCTGGATTTGGGATTGTGCTTGCTTTGCCCGGGACTAAAACCCAGGAAGCATCTTCTCCCCTAATTGCATCGTGTCCCTTCCAAATCCAACTGATCAAGAGAGATCTCTGCACCCTCTCCCCTTAATCCTTCATTTTGTTTGCAGCATGATGAAAGCCAAGCTTCACAAATGACTCAAAATTTAGATTAAACAAGGCACAATCCAGCAGCACTCGCTTTAGGGGAAAAAAATAAATAAATAAATAAGAGCAGTTCTCCTGCTCTCTGTCCTCAAAAAATCTGGTATTTGAAAATCTGTTTTGTTTATAAGTCAGAATGTGGAGCAGTACTACAAAGGGCTGTGTCAGGATAATTGGATGAACAGAAACTTCTGTTTTCTGCAGGGTTTTGCTGCTCACACACATCCAATAAGATCTAATGGAATACTCAGCATCCTTGTCAAACTTGAGAGATGACATTACAAAGCTTTTTCCAGCGAGCAGCCAGTCAGGGGGGGTTTCTTTTAAAGCGTTTCATGTTGCTCTAAATGAGAATTTAAGAACATGTTTATTTATTTTTAATTTTGGAAAACAGCATTTCAGTAAAAAAAAAAATAATAATAACAACAACAAAAAAAATCTATTCCAGGAATCTCTGTTCTCCTTGCTGGGGGATTGCTGTTAAATACAGGCCTGCCTGAGTTTTTCCTCCTCTCCCTGGGATGTTTTACCATCACCTGGGATACTAAAAAATAGACAGCTTGTTCACAGGGGTCCTTACATTGGGGGTGAAGAAAATCACCCTCAAATCAACTGTTTGGAGAATTTTCTCTTAGCCAACCTATGGAATGGCTCTCCAGGAATCAGAACCTGCACAAGCACCAGGATTTCCCTGTCCCTGCCACGGGATTGCCCAGAGGAGGCTCCACAGGTTGTCCAAGGAGAGCCAGAAGCCCTGTGGGGATCACACAGAGGTGTGATCCGAGGTGAAGAGTGGAAGATGTGCCAAAAATGAAGCCCATAAATCCCTAACTGGTCCATACCCAGCTGGGTGGGGCTGGCACCAACCTGTGGGAGGTGTGGAAGGGGGTGGGATGGGACGAGCTTTGAGGTCCCTTCCAACCTGAACCATTCCATGGTTCTGTGAGAGCCTCAAAAAGCCATTTCTGTGGTGCACAGGTAGGACAGAGAGTCCACCAGCCCCTGTAAAGGTGACAGCTCTGCTGGGATCTGCCCCCTGCCCCGGGCTGGAGCTCACCCCACCCATCTCCTGGAGGGGCAGGACAGGAGGGGAAGGGGATGGGCAATTATGTGTTGGTAACAATAAGCTAAAAAGCACTTTGGGGTCCAACTCCTGCAAGAAAACACGTGCAGGGAGGGAGAGCAGCAGCCAGAGCATCACCCACATCTCCCCTGCACCATTCCCAGCTCAGCAGCTTCTCCATCCCTGCACTTCCAGCTGCCGGGGGGGACAGGGGACACCTGGCTGTGCTGCCACCTCACCTGACAGGCACTTCTAGCTCATGTCCTTACCCCTGCAGGCACAGGGCACCTTTGGGAGATGGCAGAAGGGGAGGGAGGGAGGAAGGAAAAAACCTTTCTCTCCAGTCCCTTCCATTTTGCTCTCACGGGGTGTTGGGGGGAAAAGTGTTTGCAGGAGCACAAGATTCACCTCAACAAAAGGGAAAAGGGGAAAATATTTAACTCTGCCAGGAAGGGAAAAATGTGCTGAATTAAACAAAAAAACAACCCTCTGCCCAGGCTGATTGTATCTAACCTTGCTTTTACATTCACACAGTGATTTCCAAACCAGGCCACGGATTAGGAGGAGCTGAGAGGGAACAGGCAACGAGGGTGTTCTGCAAAAAACTGAGGATCAATTTAAACAAGCTGGAAGGGAAATTGTTTTCTTATAGATTATCAGCAAAGCCAGACCCCGTCTCAGAGGACATGGGGTGTTAATAAATGATGTATTTACACGTCCTCGGAAAACAGACAACAAATTAGATTCCCCCTCACCCTTCCTCTCCCTTCTCCTGGACCAGCCTGGGCTCTGATTCATCTCTCCTGATGAAAAATGCAGTGGAGTTGCTCTCCTTTCTATGGCATCACATGGCCTGTTCTGCAGGTGTTTCTCTCCATTGGGATATCTGGGTCCAGGCAAGGTGATGCTCCCAAGGAAAGGGTCACGCTGGGTTTTGTTGGAGGTTGTGCTTGGGCCCCTCGTGTTCTCCAGCCACAGATCCCACTGCCTGCAAACATCCTGCCCTCGGGTCTGGGAGGTTTTGCTGCCTGGCTTCTTGTTTGTCTCCCACAGCACATTCCTGGGAAAGCTGCAGCCCAAGGCCTGGCCAGGGGCACTCTGGGCTGGGTCAGGGACTGGCTGGAGGGCCTGGCTGAGAGTGGTGGGGATGGAGCTGCATCCAGGTGGGATCTGTCACCAGTGGTGTCCCCCAGGGATCAAGGGTTGGACTGGATGATCTCAGAGGTCACTTCCAACCCAGCTGATTCTATGATTCTACAAAATTATTGAAAATAAAGTACTGAAACCTTCCCTAACAGACAGGAGGAACCTGACAAAAACCAGCAAGGGGAGAAAAACGAGTGGCAGGTCCCCCCTGCCAGGCAGACCAAGGCCCTGCTTCAATGGCACCTCAAGAACAGTTGTTCAGCTCATCCTTTAAACACTCAACACACAAGAGCACAGTTCATTCTGTCTGACAACCCAGGGTGTGAGATTAGAACCCCCTGACATTTATCTAATCAGGGGAAATTATAACATTAATCTTTACTTTTCTATTTAAGGAGAAAGGATGACTCAGGCAGGTGTTTTAATAGAAAGCAGCACTGCTGACAGCAGAGGGAAGGTGTCCTACCAAAAGGCATCAGCTGCACAGGGAAAACAAAAGGGGGGTGGTTTCCTTATAATTTGAAGTAATTTATATGTTCCAGGAAAGCCAAGAGGGTTAAATAACCATGGTGGTTCAGAAAGCAAAGTTAAACAACAGGGAAAAGCCAGGGAACATCCCAACTGGGCAGGTTTCTCCAAGGAAAATCTTCTCCCTTTCACTCTGCTCCTGTTCCTGAGCTATGGCACTTTCCCTCAAATTCCTTAATTCCTCAGGAGGAAAGTGCTGAGCTGCACTAACCCCCCTGGATGTCATTCCTGCTCCTTCCCTGCTTCCTTTTCCCTCTCCTTCATCCTGCCCCCAGAGCCACAACGTCCTCCAGAGCCATCCCAGGGAATGCTGCAAACAGCTCCAAGGAATTCCTTCCAAAATCCCAATTTTAGTGACCCCCTGGTCCCCCCCAGGAGCTGCCCCAGGCCAGGGCTGCCCCCAACCCCAGGGCAGCAGCTTCCCTGTGCTTGGGCCACCTGCCAGGACATTTCCTGGCCCTCAACAGCACCTTGGGATCCCAGTCCAGAAATCTTTTTTACCCTAATCCACAAATCTTTTTTACCCCAATCCACAGATCTTTTTTACCCCAGTCCTGAAATCTTTTTTTACCTCAGTCCCAAAATTTTTTTTACTGCAGTCCCAAAATCTTTTTTTTACCCCAATCCAGAAATCTTTTTTTACCCCAATCCAGAAATCTTTTTTACATCCCAGTCCCAAAATCTTTTTTCACCCCAGTCCTGAAATCGTTTTTTTACCCCAGTCCCAAAATCTTTTTTACCTCCCAATCCTAAAATCTTTTTATCCCAGTCCCAAAATCTTTTTTTACATCCCAGTCTCAAAATCTTTCCAAGGCCAGGCTGGAGCCTCCTGGGACAGTGGGATGTGTCCCTGCCCGTGGCAGGGGGTGGAATTAAATGCTCTTTAAGTTCCCTCCCAACCCAAACCACTGGGGGATTCCATCAAATCCACACTTCCCGGGATTCCAGCTGGAAAATGAACTCCAGCAGGACACAGAGGGCTCATGGAGCTGTGGATTCCCAGGAAAGCAGCGTGGGGGGTGGTGGGAGCAGCAGGAGTGGGTACCTTGGTACTGGGCACTGAAGCCCTTCTGCCTGTGGTTGCCATCAGAGGTGAAGTGGAGCCTCAGCCAGTTCTTGCTGCTGATCACAGGGGCAGGTAAATTCATCCCAGTGAACCTGCAAGAGAGCAAAAACCCCCATTAGTGGGTGGGAATCACCCCCAACACTCACCTTTGCAGGTTTTCCTGCTCCCACACTGATCCAGGAAACCCTCAGGGGTGCCCAGCAAAGCACCTCCACCCCCCAGGGGCTTCCAGCCACAGGATCCCCCCAAGTTTATTCAGCTCCTGCCTTTCTGCTTGCTCAACCCACTCCAAAAAAGTCTGTTTGTCTCACTGAGGAGCAGGAAGGAGTGCAAGAACCATCTGATTTTTTCCTCTACATTGCCAGAGGATTTTGGGACTGGGGTAAAAAAGATTTCTGGACTGGGGTAAAAAAGATTTCTGGATTGGGGTAAAAAAGATTTGGGGACTGGGATAAAAAGATTTTAGGACTGGGATGTAAAAAGATTTTGGGACTGGGGTAAAAAAGATTTCTGGATTGGGGTAAATTGCCAGAAAGGAGAAGTGATTTATGATCCACCCCGACCTGGGTGAGAGCACAGCCAGCAAACAAGGTGGAAAACTCCCCAGCCCTTCAGACCTCTTTAGATTTGTATTTTCTCTTAAAATATGATGCTGTTTCCAGCCAAAGGATTCCCCCAAGTTCATTCAGCTCCTGCCTTTCTGTTTGGCTCAACCCACTCCAAAAAAGTCTGTTTGTCTCCACTGAGGAGCAGGAAGGAGTGCAAGAACCATTTGATTTTTTCCCTCTAAATTGCCAGCAAGGAGAAGTGATTTATGATCCACCCCGACCTGGGTGAGATCATGGCCATCAAACAAGGTGGAAAGCTCCCCAGCCCTTCAGACCTCTTTATATTTGTATTTTCTCTTAAAATACAATGCTGGTTTTGCTTTAGTAAACTCCAGCTCATCATTCCTGGCTGAGTTGTCTTTGTCTGGGACAACATTCCAATCACAGCACTTGGACTGAGCCACATAAAGGGGACATTGCCCATGGCAATTCCAAATTATTTTAATCATCAGCTCTCATTTATTTAAAAACTGTTGGCATTCCAATGCCTTTTTTATTTTTTTTTTTTAGATGAAGGTAAAAGGACCCTGGAAATCTCCATCATCCCCAAGGGTCACTCAGAGCTGGTGACACACATTTTTAACAGCAGACCTGACACCCAGGAGGCATTTTTAGAGCCCAACCAGCCCTTCCAGAGGTGACCTCTGGCAAACAGGGGGATCCAGGGTGTCCCTTGGCAGAGGATTTATTAATGGCAGAGGGACTGCAACTCTGTTAATGAACTTGCAGGGCTGATTACTGTGCATAACTAATGCATCTCTGCCACCTACAGTACAGACTAAACCCTGGATTATCCACTGCCTGAGTCCTGCCCAGTGAGCAGCGTGACTGGAAACATCCTTTACACTCCAAAAATCTCTTTTCAGGTTGTTCTCCATCATTTCTCTATCGATTATTTCCATTTTTCAGCCCTTTTGGAAGCACGAGGTGTTCCAGAAATGGGTTCTCTGTGGCTTTTTGCCATCCTTGGGAGGACTCAAAAGACAGCTGGACTGACTGAATTGGAAACTTTTCTCAAATAACTGAACTTCAAACCAACAGATTTGGGGCCCGGATCAAACACGGGGATGCCAAAAAACCCAATTGTGAGGAAGTTCCTGTGTCTGGTTGTTATGACAACAGGCTTAAAACTTCATCCTCTCAGCCCCCCAAAGGCCATTTTATTATTCATTCTGAATCAACAGTCACAACTTCTCATAAAACAATCTCTGGGTATGCAGAGCCAAATTTTAACTTTCATAACCGTGGTGAGACAAGTAATTTGATGGAGTGATATTAAAAAAAATAAGAGAACAATAAACTAAACCTGCCTGGATGAGGCAGAACTTCTCCTGTCCTCCATCCCTAGTTTTGTTTTGGGTTTTTTTTTTTTAATATCCACATCCTTGAGAGGTGGATTCAGCAGCCTGAGGATTAGTAACCCACCCTTTTACCTTGGATTCCTCAGGATTCCAAGCTTTTATTTTTACTTTCTTGGTTTTTAAAGTCCATTAACAAGCTGAAAAACTCTTCCAGCCCCTCTGTGTCCATCTGTCCCCTTGTCCATCCCCAGGACACGTGGGACCAGCACAGCCCCCCAGCCTGGTGTGGGTTTGGGCTGGAAGGGAGTTAAAGCTCTATTTCACTCTTGATGATCTTGGAGGTCTTTTCCAACCTCACTGACCAGCAGGAGTTCAAAATTCTGCTCTTGCCCCTCCAAGAGTTGGACTTTGCTGTCACCTCCTGTCCCCAACGCCCCCCTTGAGCACTGCTGGGGACAAAAATGCATCTCTCAAACAACTGATTTTATCCCAAATCCTTCCCAGCTGTGTTTTTAATCAGAGCACTGAGGTGTTGAGGGTTTATTTTTTGAAGCCTCCCCATTAAACACAGCTCCTCCAGCTCCTTTATTGCAGAACACAGAGAGGTTAATGGCATCAAAACTCCTCTTTTGAGGAAAAACACCCAAGTGTGGCTTTCACAACTATTTTTCTTCATTTCTTTTCTTGCCCTTGTATTTCCCATGGAAGGCAGGCATGAAATATTTATCCCATTCACTCAGCCATCCCTCCCCTGGCACAATTAGTATTTCTGTACATGGATGGCACTGATTGCTCTGCATTCACATCCCATTATCTATTTACAATCCCAATTCCTGCTTTAATTTGTGGAGAGCAAGAAAGAGGGGAAGGGAAAAAAAATCAATAAAATGTCACAAAGTGAGCTGGAAGCACTGGAAGAGAGGAAGGAGGTGTTTGCAGACACAAGATCCAATTTGAACCACCCTGGAATTTGGCTGTGCTGCTTCTCCAAGGCCCCAAATCCAAGGAGCAGTTCCTGGGGTGGATGCAGGAGAGCAGGGAGTCAACTCAAGGTGAGAATTCCACCTGAAATCCCATTATATCAAGTGGGGATGATGGATTTAAGCACAAACCTGGAGGCATTTCTGTGCCCTGGAGCTGCCCAGAGCTGGGCTGCAGCTGAACACCAGCCCCAGTGAGCCCAAATAAGAGATGAAAATCATCACTGGGCACATTTGATCTTTTTTTGCCCCCTGAACTAATCTTGTTTGTTCAATTTAATCCCTCTGTTCACTGAACCTCTCTCTCAGCATCCCTGTGGCACAGGGATCTCCAACTGCTGCTCATCACTCCCCCCAGCCAGGCTGGGACATGCCCTGGGTCCTCCTGGAGCCTCCAACACACATTTAGGGTGAACCTCTCTGATCCTGCAGCTTCCCAGAGCTCAGCTCCTCCTCCTCCTGCTCTGGCTGGAAAGGAGACCCTCTGCAGTCAGTGGGAGAGGAGGAGGAGAGATTCCAGGAGAGGGGAGTCACAGAAAGCCCCCTGGTCCCTGTCAGGGCCAGTCAGCAGGAGATTTGAGGAGCAAATCCCTCCTGGAGCCTTGGCAGAACAAGAGAACCAGGATCACCCATCCCTGGGAGTGCCCAAGGCCAGGTTGGGTGGGCTTGGAGCAACCTGGGCCTGTGGAAGGTGTCCCTGCCCCTGGCAGGGGGTGGCACTGGGTGATCTTCAACTCCCCTTCTAACCCAAGCCATCCCTGATTCCCTGAGACACAGCCTGGAGCTGCTCAGCTCACCCAACCCCTGCCAGAGCCTCCCATTCCCTCCCAGCCTTTATTGCCCTGAACCAGCCCAACTATTCAGAGCTTAATTTCCCTTTCAGTGCATCTCAGGGACAGATTGCAGCAGCTCTGTTATATCTCCACCTATTAGGATTCACTTCACCTGTATTTTTAACTTTTTTCATCCAAACCTCTCCTCGAATTATCAGGAGAGCTGTACCATTAATTCTGAACATCTTATTTGAGCTTGTCTTACTCTCTTAAACAAAATACACTTAAGCACCTCTAGACCTCATTTTTCGGTCGCCAGAGACATCTCATCACAATGGACTCTTACAAGGGAAATGAATAATTAGATTAAAGTTATTGTTCCCCCTTTTAATGCTGTAGGGATGGAAAGAACACACCTGCATCTTAACTCTGGGCCAGGGGCTGGAATTCACTCAGGAAATGCAGAGGGAGATCCCACATCACCCCTTGGAAGGCATTGGGGTGTGATGTGTGAATCCCCAGGGATTCCTGACTGTGGAGAATCCTGGGAAAAACACTGAACAATGACAAGGAGCTTCCAGGTGCCTTCCTTCAGCACCACATTTTTCAGATCCCCCCAGTGGGGCTCCTGGGACAGGTTCCCAGCAGCTGGTTTCCTGCAGGAGGAGGAGCAGGGAACTCCTCATCTCCCAAAAGGGATAAAAATGTCCTTAAGAGGATGAGTTATTTTAGAAATGCAAGTGTGGGAAAACTTCTTGGTGTGTGTTCATCCCACCACCCTGCAGATTCCAGGGAATGGGGTGAAAGCAGAGCAGCTCCTGGTCCCTGGAAGTGCCAGAACAGGAGAGCTCTGCTCAAAACCCAGCAGGTGCCACCAGAGCTGAAAATGAAACAACTCTGCTGGTTTGGACTCTATCTCAGCCTTAATCCCAGGCTGAGGTTTCAGGGTAAATCCCTCTCCTGGTGCCAGGGGGGCACAGCCCCTTTGGCCTCCAAGGCACCTTCTTGTTTCCTCTCAGTGCACTTCACTCATCTGTTAATAACAGACCTCAACAAATCCCTCCCAGAGCCTCCCAGTTCCAGGGATCCCTCTCTCTGCTCCTTCCAGAGCCTGGTGCTAGGAGGGAAATCACATTCATTCATCACTCACAGTTTGCTTTCTCTCTCCCTTTTCCTTCTTTTTTTTTTTTCTGCATTCCATCAAAACATGAAAGTGTTTCCACGCAGCAGCAAAACTTCAGTCATTGACATCAAATTTAATTACTCTCCCAGATGAATTTGCTGGCTAGAACCAAATCAATACCCTGTTTTTTTTTTTTTCTCCTAGCAGGAACCTTTACACTGAAGTTCTTAATTCTTCATTTTTTATGTGACATTTCCCCCAGCTCATCCTTAAAGGAGCATAAACCAAATCCTTGGCTGATTTGGGG